TGACACAGCTTCTTGGTTTTGCTAATGATATTGATATTATAGGAAGGTCTGAGTGGGCTCTCAGGGAAGCGTTTACAGCCCTTGAAGCAGCTGCAAGATGACTTGTTCTAGAAGTCAACAAGAACGAGAAGAAAACCAAGTATATGAGAGGTGGCAAGGTGGATCTGAACTCTCCATTTAAGGTAGGATCTTTTAAGTTTCAGAGAGTAAAAAACTTTATACACCTTGCGTCTGAAGTAAATAGCAAGAATGGCATGGCTCAAGAAATACAGAGAAAGATCACGGCTGCTTGGATAGATGTGTTTTTGGACTTAGCCGACACTTTAGAAGTAGGTATCTCTCAAAGAAGACCAAGCTGGTTATTATATACAAGACCCTTGTACGACCAGTTTTGACATATGGCTCAGAGGCTTGGACGATGACCAAAAGTGATGAGACGAAGCTTAGTGTGTTCGTGCGAGGAGTCCTCAGAAAGATTTATGGCCCAGTAAAGAAAGGTGAAGTCTGGAGGAAAAGAAAAAAGAGGGAGCTCAGTTCTCTTTATACAGACATAGTCACCTACATTAAACTTGCCAGACTAAGGTGGGCAGGGCATGTGGCCAAAATGAGCGCCTTTGAAATAACCAAAAAAGTAATGATTGAGGAGCTGTGTCACATATGTATGTACTTAGTCCTGTCATAAATATTGTTACAAGAAAATATATACAGATTTCAACAGAAAAATTAATTTTTTCAAAAACTTTATTAGAAAATAAAATGTATATCTATAGAGAGTAAAACAAAAAAGAAATTACTCAAAATGTCCCCCTTTTGCCTTGACACAGGCATTTAATCTCCGTGGCCAGTCATCAATAGCAGCACGCAGCACTTCTTGAGGAAAGCGCTCAACTGCTCGGACCAGAGATTGTTTGAGGCTTTCCAAGTTAGGGTGTGCTCTGTGGCATGCCATCCTCTCCAGTTCGGACCAAAGCCGATAATCTAGTGGGTTGAGATCAGGGCTTCCTGAGGGCCAATCCAGGAACTCTGGAATGTTCTTTTGCAGCCACTGCTGAGTTGACCTGGCCTTGTGAGCTGGAGCGGAATCCTGCTGGAAAACCCAATGACTTCCAGCAAACAGAGTATCATTTAGAGGCTTGACAACAGGTTCCAAAATATCGTCCTGATAGTTTTTAGCGGCTGTTTTAACTCCTTTTTCACAAAAATGGAGCTTTGTAGTGCCATCAAAGCAAACTCCCCACCAAACCATCACTGAGGAAGGGTGATGACCTCTTTCCACTCTTCCAATGACTCTGGCTTCTTTAGAGCTGTGTATGTACACACGATCATTTTGGCGATTAAATTTTTCTTCAATTGTAAACATTTTCTCATCGCTAAACAAAATCTTTCAAAGATCATTGGTGTAACAGCCAAGGAGAACTTTGAATCAATCCACTCTAATTTTTTTTAGGGAAGAGGTTAGCCTCTGTCCTGTCATTCTTCGAAATGCACCCATCCTAAGGTCTCTTTTTATTATACGAGACATTGATCTGACAGAGATTTCCATTTCCAGAGACATGATTTGTTGTTTTCAAATGGGATTTCTTCTGATTCGAGCAGCCACTACTCTCACTGCATTTCCGTTCTCACAGTGCTAGGACAGCCCCAGGTATAGGCCCGGTCAAGGTCTGTCACATACATATAGGGTCTTATATCTATTTATAGTGCGGTACAAAAACATACGGCTGATACCCAAAGGTTTCAAAGTGTTGCAAATCTCTGACCTACATTTTTCAACTTTGTGTAAGCCGATCATAGCTATTTGGTTTTCTTTATCACCTCACTATATGTTAACTGAGAGAAAGAAAAATACAAACTAATTGGGATTATGATCCTAACATGTAAAGAAAATAACCTGATGAGAGATAAGGATAAAGGTAAGGATGGAAACAAAGTTCAACTTTTGTAACAGTATTTATGGCAGAACTAGGTATGTATATTATAATTAATTACAATTGAATACCATAAGAAGGAATCAAAAAGCTAATGAATGGGGTTAGATCAAAAGCAGCTCAATCCTAATTTATGGTGTTTTCTGTAAAATGTTTGAAAATGGATTCAGTCTACATTGAAAATAATTGGCTCACAAATGTGTTATCTGTTCCAATAAATTAACTTTCAGACTACCTTATGTTACAACATTACTAACTCTATTAGGGTACTAAATTTTATAATAAGGGTTACAAATGAGAAACATTTTTATGAATTGGAATAAAAATTACTTTTTTATTTATGGTAACAAAAAATAAACAAACCTCCTACTTTACATAAACAATCAATTGCTAAATATGTTAAACTTCTTTAAAAAGGAAGGAGATGGTCTGGGGTGGCAGTCATAAATAGGCTAAATAGAGGCAAAACTATTTTATTAAAAGCCAACGTTTCGACCCGACTTTGCAGGTCTTCTTCAGGGCTAGAACAGACAACATACAAAAAATATAGAGAATTGTGGAAGTTACATAATATTTAGAAAAAAAAATATACATATATATATATATAAACAATGTGAATAAGCTTAATAAAATTACAAACAGTAAGTATATTAAAAAGCTAATGAATGGGGTTAGATCAAAAGCAGCTTATGGTGTTTTCTGTAAAATGTTTGAAAATGGATTCAGTCTACTTTGAAAATAATTGGCTCACATATTGACAAAATATTGGCCTCGGGCGGGCTCATTACCGCGTATGGGGAGCGTCCCACGGGTGGCGGATGTGGGGATGGTCGGTGGAAATTCCTTGGAAGTTCCTCCCGGCTAAGTCCGATGGACTCGCTGACCAACAATGAGAGGGGCCCTCCAGACTTGCTGGAGGGAGGGGACCTCCAGACTTGCTGGAGGTAGGGGCCCACCAGACTTGCTGGAGGGTGTGACGTAGGATTGAACGCCCTACTCACATATCTTTAGTTCACCAAACACCACAAATAGTCATGGATCTCCCTAAGGTAAAACGCTCATTATCCGGAAGTAAACTAGTCCCCCGTTCGGGTCTCCGGGTGGGGACTGCTTTAGGGGATTCATGGCGCAAGTTGAAATATAGGGATTTAAATATTGGTACGTGGAACGTAAGGAGTTTAAACACAGCAGGGGGGCTAAAATCGGTCGCGAATGAGGTGAATGGGTACAATTTGGATGTCGTGGCTCTGCAAGAGGTTCGCTGGCCAGGGGAGGGCTCGATGAGGGAAGGAAAGTACACTATTTGGTACGGAGGAAGCGGGAATCATTGTTTGGGTACCGGGTTTCTAATTAGGAGTAGATTACTATCCGCTTTGAGGGACGTACAATTCTTTAGTGATAGAATTTCGGTAGCTACATTTCAGGGACGTTGGTTTAAAATCGCATTAATAAACATACATTGTCCGACCGAAGACAGTGACGATGAAGTCAAAAGTGAATTTTACGATAAACTCGAATGGGTTTATGATAAACTACCGCGAAACTACATGAAAATAATTATAGGTGACGCGAACGCAAAGGTAGGAAGGGAAGAAGTTTATATTCCGACGATTGGTAAAGAAAGTTTGCACTAATATAGTAATGATAATGGGATCCGTCTGATAAATTTTGCTATCTCGAAAAACCTGATAATTAAAAGTACGACGTTTAAACATAAGGATAATCATAAATATACTTGGACATCACCGGATTCGCAAACACGAAATCAAATCGATCATGTCTTGATACAACATAGCTGGCAAAGCAGTATAATTAATGTACGGTCTTATCACGGAGCAGAATGTGGGTCAGATCATGAATTAGTAATCGCGAAACTTCGACAAAAACTTAATATAAAAAAGAGAAAAGAAAACCGTTTGGATTTTGAGAATTAAAAAATCCATCAATTAGAACCCAATTCGAGCTAGATGTTAAGAATAGGTTTGAAGCTTTAGAGCTTCCTGACGAGGACCACGAGGATATTGACAAGTTATGGGTAGAGATCAGGGATAATATTAAAGCGGTCGGTAACTCGTGTCCAGGAAAAAAGGAAAATAAGAATAACAAACCGTGGTTTGATGAAGATTGCTTAAACATGTGCGAAAAACGAAAAGCCGCTAAATTAAAAGCTCTAAATAATCCTAGCGAAGACAATCTGGAATACTTCCGAACCTCAAAGAACGATCAAAAATAAAAAAAGAGGTATGTACAAAGGTATAAACAGATCACATAAATTTGTAGGGTCCGTAACATCTGGAATTAGGGATGATAATAACAATATTCTGACCGATCCGGTTGACATATTGAATAAATTTAAGGACCACTTTGACAATATTTTAAATACGGGAAATTATGATCTGTGTCCTCCTTCTGAGTACCAGAGTGCTGAACCTTTGATAGAAGAACCGAGTAAAGAGGAAGTTGAATTAGCTATCGGAAAATTGAAATCTTATAAAGCAGCGGGAACTGACAATATTCCTACTGAACTAATTAAGGCATGCGGGGAAGCTGGAGTTTCTAAAATACATTGGTTGGTTAAAAAGATCTGGGTGAATGAGAAATTACCTGAAGAATGGAAAGAATCTATTCTTATTCCGATTCACAAAAAGGGTCCGAGGACGGATTGTAATAACTATCGAGGAATTTCACTCCTTCCGGTATGTTATAAAATATTTACTTTAATCTTAACCAGTCGAATCACGGAATACGCCGAGGAAATTATCGGAGACTACCAATGCGGATTTAGACGGAATCGTTCGACTATTGATCAAATATTTTCTTTACGGCAAATATTAGAGAAAAAATTGGAGTACAACGGTATTGTTCACCAGCTGTATATAGATTTTCAAAAGGCTTATGATTCTATTGACCGCCAGAAACTGTATAATATTCTAATCGAGCAGGGGATTCCTAAAAAATTAGTAAATCTAGTCAGGATGTGCTTGACGGAGACACTCAATAAAGTTAGAATCGGTAATAATCTGTCCGAAAAATTTGAGGTTCGTTCGGGTTTAAAACAGGGGGATTCCCTTTCGCCTGTCCTGTTCAATTTGGCATTAGAACATGCCATTAGGGAGGTAATGCGTACCGAGAAAGGGTTGGATCTGGGTGGGACAACATCCGTGCTGGGCTATGCGGATGATCTGGTACTGTTAAGCGAAGACCTTGAAACTATAAAACTAAATACGACAACGTTAATGAAAGCCGGTAAAGAACTAGGACTCGAAATAAACGTGGATAAAACAAAATATATGGTTAGCTGCAAAAATGGCGATACTACTGGTGATATCGATATAGATGGTAATATGTTTGAACAGGTAGATAAGTTTAGGTATCTAGGTTCTACGATAACTAGAAAAAACGAAATTGAAGAAGAAATTAAGGTTAGACTGAAGGCGGGAAATGCTTGTTATTTTTCTGTGACAAAACTACTTAGTTCGCGCCTCTTGTCCCGAAACTTAAAAATTAGAATCTATAAAACAATTATCTTGCCTACAGTTCTTGAAAATAAAGTATTGCATAGAATATTTGGACCAAAGAAGGATGAGTTAACCGGAGAGTTCAGACGGTTACACAACGCCGAATTGCGTGAACTGTATCTGAGTAATATAATTGAGATAATTTCATCGCGGCGAATCAAATGGGCTTGTAAAGTTGTTGGACATAGTAACGAGAGAATTCCTAAAAGGTTAATATTTGCTGTGCCGAATGGTAAGCGTCTGAGGGGTAGACCGAAGCGAAGGTGGGAAGATTGCATTAAAGCCGATCTGAAGGGACTGGGTTTGGACGGCGAACGGTGGAGGGAGGTGTGTAATAAGCGATCGGTGGTGTCGGCATCGAACCTTCGGGTTCGCTAAGCCTTTCTATTATTATTATTAAGTATATTAAAATATAAACAGAGTAAGCTAAGTAACAAGATCCTAAACTGAAGTAAATAGATGGTAACGATTGTTTTAGTGTAATATATAATACATGCAAATGTGAATATACTTCTACAGATCTACGGGGGAGATTGAAAAAGAAGGAAAAAGGATATAATATGAAATAATAGACATATAGGAATGTGGAGAAAGAAAAGAAAACCAAAAATGAATAAATAAGTATATAAAATAAAAATAGAGTCTTACAGGTGTGTTCACTTCAGGTGGGAGTTTGAGTTTCACTTAGAACTGGAAAATAAGGGTAAGGGTAAGTATTGGGGAATTTTGATGACATGAATTTGCGGAATTTAAAGATATGGATGGATAAGAGGGGGAAACAAATACAATATCTATGAAATAATAAATCATAAATACACACATATACATATAATTAATTAAGAAATTATAGATAAGAGTACAATGTGAATAAAAACAAAAATGGAAAAGTAAAATATAAATATAGAAATAAGAGACTGTACATCGCAGAACTACTTAAAAAGTATAGGAAGGAAAAAAAGAAAAGAAAAATATGAATAATTATAATTATATTTAGTTGTCCATGTGTAAGAAAATAACATTTAAATATTAGATAATATTGAGACATGGTTAAAAATTAAAATGAATACAAAGTGAAAATGGATGATCATACATTGACGTAGAAAGTAAATATGAAATTAAACTGTGCTTAAATTTTTAAACTGCTTTACAACCAAAAAGAGTACAACCTCCCCTTCTCTCAACTCCGCACAATCAGCTACCACTCCTTTCATTTACAAATCTCTCCCCTATATTCCTATTCTCTCAGATAATACACAAAAATTCCTAAAATCGACTATAACCAACTTACGTCTTGACCTTAAGACCCATAACAAACTTTCTTTCCTTTTCACCAACTTGAAGAATCCCATACTTTTACAACACCGATCTAATGTAGTTTTAGATACCTTGCCCAGAATCCTTCCGCCTCCAAACTATCAGAACATGCCTTAACCCTCAACCACTCATTTGATTTTGAAAAAACCTCTATCCTTGCCACGGTCCCTAACCATGAAAAAAATACTCATTTCTGAATCCATCCGCACTCACATGGAACAGAATCCTGTTAATCATAAAGTAGATAAAAACTGCATTTCTTTAACATATAGACACATTTTAAATCTTATAAGTGAAAAACAATTTATATTATATCGTATTATTTTTATCTACTTTCAATTTTTATTGATTAATTCAATTTAGTTGATTATTCTAATTATTTCTGCTTTGTATGATCTCTCCTTTATTTTAATTTCATATTTACTTTCTATATCAATGTATGATCATCCGTTTTCACTTTGTATTCATTTTACTTTTTAACCATGTCTCAATATTATCTAATATTTAAATGTTATTTTCTTACATATGTACAACTAAATATAATTATAATTATTCATATTTTTCTTTTCTTTTTTTCCTCCCTATACTTTTTAAGTAGTTCTGCAATGTACGGTCTCTTATTTCTATATTTATATTTTACTTTTATGTTACTTCTTCCATTTTTGTTTTTATTCACATTGTACTCTTATCTATAATTTCTTAATTCTATTTTATATGTATATGTATGTGGTTTTTCTTTCTTTCTCCACATTCCTATATGTCCACTATTTCATATTATATCCTTTTTCAATCTCTCCCGTAGATCTGTAGAAGTATATTCACATTTGCATGTATTAAATATTACACTATAACAATTGTTACGATCTATTTACTTCAGTTTAGGATGTTGTTACTTAGGTTACTCTGTTTATATTTTAATGTACTTTCTATTTAAGATTTTAATAAGCTTATTCACATTGTTTATATATTTTTTTTTTCTAAATATTATGTAACTTCCACAATTCTCTATATTTTTTGTATCTTGTCCGTTTTAGCCCTGAAGAAGACTGCAAAAGTCAGGTTGAAACGTTGGCTTTTAATAAAATAGTTTTGACACTATTTAGCCCATTTATGACCGCCATCCCGGACCATCTCCTTCCTTTGCAACGCAACGGTCAACTATTAAACAGTCAATAAACTTCTTTAAATTTTGACTTCTATATAAAACAGCATTAAGCATAAACCAACACAAAGACTTATTTTGATCTAGAAATCAATAAGTTATTAAACAACAGAAATATCATTTGATATACATTGATCCTGAAAACAGTTTTTACAATTTAAGATCAAGGAAAAATTAGCAAATACGATACTTCCAAAATATTTACAAGCTATTTAATTTACTTATTACTAAGAATTTAGAAGATTTGAAAATAGTCCATACACCTTTAACTGTAATATAGTTTTCGTATGACACTTCTGTATTTTCTTTATATTCAATGGTTTATGAAATTAAAAAAAAAAAAAAAAGAAGCTTTTTAAATAAATAAAATAAATAAATGCTACATGTACAATTTTAATGAATCATAAAAAGCATAGCAACAAACCAAATTTTTATAAAAATGATTGTTTCAATTTTTATTTTCTTAGTTGAAAACTGATTTAATCTTTCAGATATTGTTTAGTTGTCTGATACTCCTATTATTAAGTACTATAATACTACTTTATTGTTCATATTTTGCCACTTTTTATACACTTCAGTCTTTGCTGTTTATTGTTAATGTCAAGAGCCTTTGTATGAACTCTAGAAAGCTGAGAGTATTTGTGACAATTTTTCTAATATTGGAATTCTTTGCTTTTTTCGATAATTTAATTTACTATTTCATAATTTTTTTATTTAATCTTACTTTTATTTAAGAAAATGATAAAATACCATATTTCTTATCATTATCTTGCTGAAAATTAAAGTTCTGCCCAATCAGCTAAAGCCTAGATGGTATGTAAGAATGCTATGGTACCATTTTGCATCCAGTTTTCCAAATATTCACAAGAGGTATCCTACTCCAGATCTAGAAACTCACCTCCAAACTATTAAGAAGCCACCTTCATGTTTTACTGTTGTTCCAAACATTCATCTGAAAATTCCACTCCAGATCTTCTATAACATACTGGCTTCTTTCGAAACCAAACATTTCAAATTTTGACACATCTCAATAAAAATGTGTTCCATTCTTCTTTCATCCAAATTCATGTTTTTTTTGGCATACTTAGTTGTTTGCGCTTGTTAAGAGATCGAAAAAATGATTTTCTTCTTGCAACACAATCTTTATGGCCAAATGATAGGAGTTTCCTTCTGATCAAGGATGAAACTTGGATATTTGTAGTTCTCTGCTATTTTTTTTAGTGGTTGCTGGAACAGAATAATTTTAAATGTTGATCAGCAATAGTACTATGGTTTTTAGACCTGCCTGAATGTTTCAAGTCTCCAGTTTGCTTGATTGTTAACAACTTTTTGATGGCATAATAAATTCCACAAATAAAACCTTCAAACTGCTTTTTGAATTACCCTGATTTAAGCCATTGTTGATACAAAATTATAATTTTATGTTGGTCAAAATATGATACTTAGCCATTTTCTGAAATAAAATAACATTAAATAGGAAAAAAAAAAATGATGAATGTTAAATTAAATTACAGAAAAAAAAAGTGATGAATTCCAATATAGAACAATTTTCACAGATACACTCCGCTTTCTAGAGTTTATACCACAGCTCTTGATGTTAACAATAAAGTAGTCTTATTCAGAGAATAAAAAGAACGTAAAAACAATGGATTGGTCCCATGATTTGTTGTTAATTGAAAATAATGTTAATTTACATATATATTAAATCTACAATGTCTGCATGATAAAATGAGTTTACAATTAAACAGATAAAAACATTTTTAAATTGAAACATTTATCATTCTTATAAAAATTTGGTTGGTTCCAACACTTTTTTATATCACTGTGTATATAATTTTAAAAATATATCTACACATGTATACATAAGATACTTTTCGACCTTTAGCTGAAACAAACCAGTTAAAATTTATTTTCTTTTTAAGTACTTCAAAATGAGATGTGTTAAAAAAAGTAATCAATTAATTAGACAGTTTCCTTTTTCTTTTTTTGTTCTTCTTGGAACAATGACAATAGTCTCTAGAACTAAACATCAGACCTAATGGATTACTATATGATACTTTTTGGATTCTGAAATAATTTAACTTTGAATTATTTAATATTACTGAACTTGCAAGTCGTTGAAAAGTTATTGAATTACATCTTATTATTACTTCATTAAGCGTTTGGTCATACTTCAAGATGTCAACAGGAACAAGACCATTTACCTACAACATAGATACAATAGATTAACATGATAAAAAAAATAAATAAAAAAATAGTGCAGTGTGCGCACCACACAACTTTCACTTACCACTCTTTTTTTTTTGCAGAAATAAGTATTTTCACACAAGGGAAGTGAAAGTAAAAATTATACACGATATGAAATATTATTTAAAACAAGTTATTACCATTTGCTCTTCATAGCCGTCTAATGTATTGAATTTATGTTGTTTTTTCACTAACCACTTCTTTTAGTTAATGAATAATTAAGTGCCACAAAATATTTATAGTCTGGGAAGAGTGGTACTAATAAAGAAGATCGTTATATTTATTCATATTTCATTATAGGTATTTTTATTTGTTTAAGCATTGGAATACCTAGTCCTGTCATAAATATTGTTACAATGAAATATATACAGATTTCAACAGAAAAATTATTTTTTTCAATAATTTATTAGAAAATAAAATGTACACCTATAGAGAGTAAAACAAAAAAGGAAATATTGACACATGCATTTAATCTACGTGGCAAATCATCAATAGCAGCATGCACGTAGCACTTGTTGAGGAAAGCACTCAACAGCTCGAACCAGAAATTGTTTGAGGCTTTCCAAGGTAGGATGTGCCCTGTGGCATGCCATCCTCTCCGGTTCGGACCAAAGCCGATAATATAGTGGATTGAGATCAGGTCTTCCTGAGGGCCAATGCGTGGCAGAGATGAACTCTGAAATGTTCTTTTGCAGCCACTGTTGAGTTGACCTGGCCTTGTGAGCTGGAGCGGAATCCTGCTGGAAAACCCAATGATTTCTAGCAGAGTATCATTTAGAGGCTTGACAACAGGTTCCAAAATATCGTTGCTGTTGTAACTCCTTTTTCACAAAAATGGAGCTTTGTGGTGCTATCAAAGCAAGCTCCCCACCAAATCATCATGACCTCTTTCCACTCTTCCAATGACTTCCTAGGCTGCTTTAGAGCTGTGTGAGTACACACGATCATTACGGCGATTAAATTTTTCTTCAATTAGTAAAAATAAAATCTTTCGATGAAGACCATTAGTGTAACGGCCAAGGAGAACTTTGAATCAATCCACTCTAATTTTTTTTAGGGAAGAGCTTAGCCTCTGTCCTGTCATTCTTCGAAATGTGCCCAGCCTAAGGTCACTTTTTATTGTGCGAGACATTGATCTGACAGAGATTCCTATTTCCCGAGACATGATTTGTTGGTTCCGAATGGGATTTCTTCTGATTCGAGCAGCCACTACTCTTACTGCATTTGCCGTTCTCACAGTGCGGGGACGGCCCCAGGTATAGGTCCGGTTGAGGTCTGTCACATACAGTTAGGGTCTCAATATATCTATTTTAGTGCGGTACACGAACATACGGCTGATACCCAAAGGTTTCAAAGTGTTGAAAATCTCTGACCTACATTTGACAACTTTGTGTAAGGCAATCACAGCTATTCGGTTTTCTTTATCACCCCACTACATGTTAACTGAGCGAAATAAAAATACAAACTAATCGAGATCATTATCTTGCCATGTAAAGAAAATAACCTGATAGAGGTAAGGATTAACTAAATAATACCCAAGGATGTAAACAAAGTTCAACTTTTTTAACAGTATGTATGGCAGAACTAGTTATATACAAATTTTAACTTTTATATTGCTGTAATCTATACCATTAAATATTAAATAATACCAATGCTAGCATTTATGGAAACTGCATATGTATATGTATATAATGTCAGAGTTAAATACTATATACTATATTAAGGATGTGTTGTGTATGGGAAGCCAGTTCTATTCGGCGCTCGGGTTTTTCTATGCTCTGTATTACTACTGTGGCAGCAGCAGATTTCCCCAACTTGCTACAAGGGACAACTAGTTCAAACTGAAGCAACATTCTCAACCAACCTGAAGTCTCATAACACAGCTGCACTCAAATATATCAACAGGACCAAGAACCAATCTCTACAAGGCTAAATCAGGCCTTAAATTTTGTAGTTACCACATAGTGGCCAAGGTTCACAGCGCCAGCAGAATATCCTCATGAAGAAAAAGGAACTCACTATGGATGCTGAATCATGCCCAACTTGACAACTATAACAACTGCACAAATTCAACCAAAGCCTGCCGTACCATTGGTACCATTGTCCTATAGACAAAAACAGACAGAGACATCCTGCCAACCAGCCTCACTTGCATATTCAACTGGCACAGAGATACTTCGAACCAAAGTTATTCCGCTAAACTGCCCACTATTGGCAATCGACTGGTGCATCGATGGTTTACCATAATTTTATTTATGAAAGTTGGCAGGAAATATTTCAACATCTAATGAATTTGGTATGAAAAAAAGAAAGAAGTACCCAGGGATTGGGAAATTTCAGTCATAATACCAATACATAAAAACGAGACTACAGGGAACAACTGTTCTTTACTTTCTAGATAACACATGTATTCTAATACATATATTAAACAATAAATTAAATTTTGCCAACTTCAACGGCCAAGGCATCTAGCATCTAGAGAATGCCTCTAACCCATACATACTGGAAATAGTTAGGGGAGAGATTTAGTGGAGGAAAAAAGATCATAAGACAAAATTAAGTGTTTGGATCACGTGGCTGCTTACACAACGACTCTCCCTCAGGTTGGAACTAAATTAGATTGAGACAATAGGAGAGAGCTCAGTAAATATCTCACCTGCCCAAAAAAAACATTATTTAAAATTAAGCCGCTTGGTTCTACTAATGAAAACCAAAGATTGAACATTTGATACTAATTCTCAATTTGATTTGGTGATCACTCACAACAGCATACCATTGGCCAATAGAAACTTAGCTAATTGTACTAATACAGGGAGAATAAATCTTATTTCTAAATATATTTTACATTGCTTTAACTATGAAATTTATAGCATCTTTTTGGTAACTCTAATATTAATAGTAGAGATAATATTATATATAGAAAAATAAAAATGCTTATTTATTTATTGTGTATCAAATCTCCTTTTGGTTTCTTAATCTCCTCAGTGGAACGGGCCACCACGTCAAGAACACTTGATTTACAGTAACAGAAAATACTTTTTTACAAATATAATAAAAAAAACAAGAACCACACATTCATACAAGGAAAAAATCCAATCATATCCACCTGTTTTTAAAATTAAAAACTAAATTGAATAATTACCTCTCCAAAACTATTCGCCATACATTTTAATAAATAATTTTTCAAAAAAACTGGGTTTCTGCATTCTCCTTTTTCAGAAGAATTTCTGAAATAAAAGAATATTATGTAATGTGATGCATATATTAAGTAAGACAATAGATATGAACTTAGTTCATATGACAAATTTGAGTGAAGTACCATAACTCTCAACAAAAGCCACATGGGAAAAACTGAGTAGCTACTTAATTAAAAGTAGTCACTTCTCAAAGAATTATGGTGAGGTTAATAAGAATTATACATGGTTGATCACAATACATCTCATTATTCCTAGAACCAATGAAATTCCAGTACAATAGGTCTTGTTCTTATAAGGGATATACAATCATAACTTTATTTATTAATTTTAAGGGGAATGCAGTAAATGTTTAGGTGTACTATGTTACTATTAGCTATAATAATATAAAATTCTGCTGGGAGAAGTCCTTTAGAATGATATTACAAAAAACAAAAAGTGGTCTTTAGTCTGATAAAATGCTTATTTTCATTTGGGCTAAGAAGGATCAGATTGCTGGGTCTATTTTATGTAACTTAAAAAAGTGAAGTATGGAGCTCACATTATCCAAGTGATCGTAGAAAGTTCGAAATAATACATTAACAATAAAACTTTTCCATAATGGACATCTATGTAAATCAAATTTTGTCCATAATAGAGAAGCTGGAGGGAAAAAATGATAAGAAAACAAAAATTGGCAGAATAAAATTGTGTTTTGTGAATCATACCAATGATATTAATTATTCATTTAAGTAAAATTTTATAATATAATAATAAATAATAAAATTTACAATTTCAATATGTTTTAGTAGGAATAATAATATTTTTATAATAATAAAATTACAATCTGCAAGTTTTGTTGCATTACTATTTAATTTTTCAAAGAAGCCAGAAGAGAAAAAAATAGGATTAATTGTTCTGTACCTTCCTTCAAAATAAAAATCAACAGAGGCACTCTCTTTCCACATATTTCTTTATAGAAAACATTTTAAGATGTTTTAAATTCACCACACCATCTAGTTGATGCCATAATATCATTTTGAACCAAATTCTGTGTAATTTCTTAAGTTTTTTCTTTGATGAGAGGACCAGATAGAGACATATTACTTGATCACTACAGCAAAGCCTGATGTTTTAGGAAATTGTTTATTTTTCTTTAAAATATCATATATTTTTGTTTTTCCAATTTTTAATTCTGTATATAACTTCCAAACAGTGTTTTTGTGGGCAAATAGTGTGGACTCACTTTAGAACACACTATATTTTGTTATAATTATAAACAATAAGAAAATATAAAACAACAAATTATATAACCTAGATAAAGTATAATAGAAAAACAATGCTGTTACACAGTTGACACATTAACATTTTTATCACAACACAATCACACTAACGGTCCATGAGGTTTTGTCTTCTCAATTGGTAAATAAATAGTAAATAGATTCAAGAAGAAATTTATTTGGAGTTCACTATCCTGACAGATAAACTTCTGATATCTCTGACGATTGTATTGGAAATACATTTAAAAGTATAAATATTATAATTTATTAAATCTAATTTGCTTAATACACGCCTAAACGTTAAGTGTTTATTTTATATTTAAGATTGATTTAACTTAATTGACAATAGTTAACACGTTAGCTGCGGTTTCATTTCCCGGCGTCCTATAGCTTTATATCTGATATAATGATTATTTATGTTTGTATCTATCTTTACATCTATTCAACTCCCATTCAATTATTTTGAAAAATGACTATTTTACATACTGTAAGAAGGCAAAATTCAAAACAATCCAGGCCAAAGTCGAAACAAATATTGGTGGAACCCAGGGACCACAGCTAACGTGTTAATTCCCATTATTATTTCTAAATTAATTTTGGATTTATATTAAACTTATAATTCGGTGATAAAAGTGAAATCATTTTACATTTACTAAAATAATTTATCTCCATTAGCAAAAGAACAAAGACCATACCTTATAATACACTTTATCTATATAAATTAAGTGTAGGAATACATCACAGATACAACTGATATAAATTAACATTTGTATTGAGGAACCACTTTTGAGTTGACAAGCTATCACACAAATAGCAAGCGCTAGAATAACAATTCATCAGATCTGAAGACTAGACAATTGAAAATATGGAGGTATAATATTAAGTTTGTTACTTGCAGTCTTAGTGACAATTTAACACAAACCAACAAATTAAATATAAAATAATTTCATTTCAAACATAAAAAGTAATATTTTTTATACTTACTTTACTAATATTTTTAAATAAACATAGTCAGAATCACTTTTTTTCAACATATAATGATTAGTAGGCACTGATTCACGTGATTTTTCAACTTCCATTTTAACTGGCATGATAATTCGAATAAAAACATGGAATAAACAAAACACTAAACTGAAAAGTTACGTTTTACTAACCAATATTAGAGATGTGTCGTTCACGAAAGAACGTTACAACTTTTTGCTAAAATGACCTGTTCAGAACGGGTCATTTTTGCGAAAAGTAGTAATGGTGAATGGTTTTCAAGAAACGGTAGTTCACTCGCTATTTTCGTTCACTCCATATTATCGCTCCTCTTGGTCTTGAAAACTTCAAATTCGGAAGAAAGGTGTTTGTATGTCAAAAGTGTTTAAAATATCACTAATTTTTGAACTAAGGCTTGATATATTTTTTAAAAATTTAATTTATTATATTCGGAAAAATAATTTTCTAAGAACCTAGGCCAAAAAAAGTATCGGCACTCTCCCCTTTTTCTATAAATCTCAATAGGATTAAGATATTTTCCAGAACCAACATTTACATTATAAGTGGACTTTATAAGCAATTAATATTTAGAATTTTTCGATGAGTTTGAAGTAATCATATATAATACTGCGTTTTATAACCCATATATAACCTATTGAGTAATATAAATGTTATGTATTGCTAAGCGGATCCTACACGGTTATTGGGAACTGCAATCCGAGGCACTATTGACGTTCTGATTGATCGTGTAAGGCACTAGCGGATCCAGGAATTAATTTTGGGAGGCTTCACCCCAAAAATTTTTTTCATATACGTATAACAATAATTAATTAGAAAAAAAGAAATAAATTAACTACCTATATGAAATGGTGTTTAAGTGGTTCTTGAAGTCCTATTAAATGTAATTACACTATCAAGAATACTTTAAGAGATAGTTTTTAATATTTGTTTCTGTAAGACATAGTTATATTTTACCATTTTGGGAGGGGGCTTCAGCCCGAAAGCCCCCCCCCCCCCCGCAGATCAGCCTGTGGTGTAAGGTACTGATTGAAGTATCGATGGACGTGTCTGGCAGATTTCCGAAAATCCGGAAATCAATGGTTCAATCACGAGTGGAGGGGAAACTGAGGTAAAAGTGGTGGGGAGATTAACCATACTACTAGATAGGTTAGTTTACCTAGTCCTTAAAAAAAATAGATTTTCATATGCCTTATTTACATTTTTATAAACCTTTTTAAAATAGTCAAGTGGGCTATACATTTTTTTTTAAAAATTGGAAACTTCCCAATTTACTGATAAAAAGAAAAAATCTTTATTTGTTGTGTATATTTGTCAGTTCTTTTTCCATTTTTCTCAACAAATTTCTCAATTCTTTTTTTTTAATTTTTGTAAGTAGTAGACTTATATGTTTCTTACTTTTGTCAAAACGATTTTCAGGCACTAGGAAGTACTTATTGTATCTCCAATTTTCTCTTGATGTCTAATACTATAAAGGATAATGGCTTTTTAATGAAACACATTATTATAAATGGACAATGTACCAGATCCACACTGCCTGTAATCTCATCGTCAACCGAGCTAAATTGCGTCAGTATGATTGAACATGTAAGGATCATCATGATTGAAGAAATCCTTGTCAGTCACATGACTGTCATTCATGAATTATCGTATAGGGTCCGCTTTACAGACTCTTATGAGTATTTGTGTGTGTTATGTATTATGTAAAATTAAAATGAATAAAGCCTTACATCAATTTTAAAGGCTTTTATTACAATTTATTCATAATTCCAAAAATTGAGAATAAATCAAAGGGGTAGTTTATAACTATTGCGAATTCATAGCTGTCGATGTTAAAACAAATAGGAAAACCTATGTCCGAGATTCTTTTATGCGAGGTATAAAATCCAATCATATTCGCGTCAGACTGTTATAGTTCAATATATTGATTTTAGATGAAGCGTTCGAGAATGCTCGCGCTTTAGAGTGCGCTAAAAACCAATCAGCATCCTATTCGTTCCCATAAGTAAATCTTAATGCCACAACATCTGTCGCACCGGATGATGAAGGTTCATCTTGGGAATCATCCAGCTTATCCGCCAATCGTAGAAACACTAAATGTTAATTTTGTGGCTTCTTGTCCTGAATCGATTCTTAATGTGACTTATGCTCCAAAATCGGCAATTGGGCTTCTGTTTGTAAATCAAAGACGTCTACCAAATCAGCAGCTCTAATCGCAGCATCCTCGTCTAACCTTCACAGAACCACAGTCCTCATTTAGGTGAACAACGTCTCTACTCATGCTTTAAATGATACAGGAAGTTCCGAGTCTTTCATATCTCATCAGTTTGCTGAGAGCTGCCGATTCAAGACTTATCCTACTACAGGCTCAGTTTGCATGACTCCTAGCTCTTTAAATTCACAAATTTCCAGTTATTGTTTAGTAAAATTAGAATTCCAAGCCCACTGTAACACAGACACAAAATTGAATGTTCTCCCCGATTTATGTGCTAATGTCATAGTGGGTGCAGACTTACTCAGTTTGTATTCAGAACTTAAATTTTCCTTTGTTGGCTTTAAATCCACTCTGACCATCTGTTTCTTAGCACCGGCGAAGATCGAGCCCCCTCCAATGTTTGAATATCTTATTGGAGACATTAAACGAATTACCATCAAATCCCGAAAACATAGGGAGGAAGACTACAACTTCATGAAGAAGGAAATTGAAAAACTTCTGGCGAACAAAATAATTGAAGAAATTAGGTCTCCATGGAGTGTCGTCTTGGTGTGACTCGAATGATTCACTGGGTACTAACGCATAATCAACCGTTTTCAGTTGAAGAGATCCGAAAAATGACCTCATCTTGTCCTACATGGAATTCGATAAAATCAAGATTTTATAAGATAGCCAATTCTAAGCTCATCAAGGCTACCCATCCTTTTGGAAGAATTAGTGTGGATTTTAAAGACCCCATCCCTCAAAAACTAGAAACAAGTACCCCCTGACCATGAATGATAAGTTTTCACGGTTTCCATTAGCTTATCCTTGCCCTGACTTGAATTTTTCAACAGTTATAGACTGCCTCGTTGATTTATTCTCAATGTTTGGAACCCCCTTATACAGTCATACTGAAAGATACATTCATACATTTACTTCTCGGAAACTCCACAATTTCCTGCATTCACGAGTTATAGCGACGTCTATGTCTTAGCCATATACCCATCAGGGAACGGCCAGATGGAACGCAAGAATGACACGATCTGGCGGACTATTTCACTGGCTCTTAAACAAAATAAATTCCATTCTCGATCGCTTTTATGCACAGCGACCAATAAGAGAGAAACCCCATGAGAGAATGTTCAAACACAATCGAAGATCAACCAATGGTTGTTCTCTACCATCCTGGGTAATACCTTCATCTAAACTGTTGATGAAGAAGCAGGTAAGATTAAGCAAATATTATCCCTTGGTGGAGCACTAGCGGATCCACCCGGGGGGCGCGCGCCCCACCCTGGAGGCTGGAAAAAAATTTCGAAATAAGTTACAAAGAACAGATATTTAAAGAAAAGAGAAATAGAGGGAAAATTCATCCTCATACACGAATTTCCTAATGTAATATAAAAAAATATTATCGTGACCAGCACTAGCGAATTCTGCTATGGGCGCTCCCCCCTTGGATGATGAAAAAAAATATCGAAAAAAGTGACAAAAACACCTATTTAAAGAAAAGGGAAATATAGGAAAAATTCATCCTCATAGACGAATTTTCTAATGTAATATAAAAATTACATGGTTATTATCGTGGCCAGCATTAGTCCAGGGGGCGCGTCCTCATTGGCGGATCCAGGAATTCTCTCAGAGAGGGAGCACATCCCTGTACCACGTGCTCCCCCTACCCCTACCTGTTCCCCCACCACTACTCATTTCCCCCCTCTCCTTAGCCGAGTTTAGCCGCTCAAAAATCCTCTTTAAATGGTTTTAACAAAAGCAAACTCTATTTTTAATCAGAGTAACTTTGATTAGTTCACAGGGAAGCTATCGTTAATTACTTAAATTAAATAGATTTTTTGTTATCACTTTCTATTCAACAAAGAACGTGACACATAAAAAATCACAAAACTTTAATTTTCTACTTTCCTGCTAATAATCGAACCATTGTTTATATTACCTTTTTTACATTTATTATCCTATATCATAATATTCAGTATCCTTTCTTTCATCTGACGATCTGATTCAAATAACGTATAATATCCGCACTCCTCCAATCTATCCTCGAACTGTCACTTTCCGCCAACAGGATACCCTTATTCGAGAAAAAATATTACCTGACCTAGTAACATTGGATTTGAATGGAATATATTATTGCTCCTCTGTCGACACCATGGTTGATATTCTCGCCACTAATCTTCTCAATATACTCAATACCCAGGCTCCTCTCAAAACCTCTACCTTTCGTCATCGCCACTAGCGGATCTAGGATTTAATTTTTGGGGGGGGGGGCTTAAGCCCGAAAGATTTTTTTTTCATATACATATAAAGATAATTAATTTGAAAAAAATAAATTAATTAATTACCTATATGAAATGGTGTTTAAGTGGTTTTTGAAGTTCTATTAAATATAATTACACGAACAAGAATACTTTAAGAGATAGTTTTTAATATTTTTTTCAGTAAAACATGGTTACATTTTACCATTTTGGAGGGGGCTTCAGCCCGAAAGCCTCCCTCCCCCGTAGATCCGCCCGTGGTCATCGCCCTGCTCCTTGGATGTGTCAGGAAATTGAGGATCTGCAGAAGAGACGCGACGCTGCCGGCAGACGCTTTAGACGGACTAGGCTTGCAGATGATTATTAAACATTCAGAGTGCTTCGTAACACGACACAGACAAGGATCCGACAAGCGAAAGCAAACTACTTTCATGAAGCCCATTCCTCAGCTCCTGATATCAAATCAAAATGGCTTCTGCTTCGTAAGCTTTCCCTCTGTGAACCTTCTAGATCCCCTTCCTCAGTTTTCCCAATATCATCTGATGACCTAAACTCCCACTTTATATCGGTTTCCACCTCTTCTTTACCTCCCCCTTCCGGCTTTTCTCCAGAGGTATCTTTTAACGACAATAATTTTTATTTTTCCAACATTTCTCCCACAGATCTTATTACCGTTATAATGAAATCTCGTTCCAATACCGTAGGCCCAGATGGCATTCCTATCAAACTAATAAAATTTTGTCTCCCTGAAATCATCCCAGCTCTTCTTTTCATCTACAATTTCTCACTGCAGAATTCAATATTCCCGACCTCTTGGAAAAAAAGCCATTATCCTTAATTTAAACAAAAAGCCTAATCCATCCTCTCCCGAAGATTTCCGCCCAAT